ACGAAGCAAATGAATAAATTCTTAGAGTTTATTTAAAACATGTGTTATTAATAGTGTATTATATTTTTCAAAAATATTGATATTACTCTATCTCAGGTGTTGTACAATAATCAAAAAAAATATTTGAATTTAAAATTACATCTATATCATGAAGCATAATATGTTTTACTAACTAATTATCGAAAATTAATTTGAAAACATTGGGTATGAATCAAAATTTTGTGTTCTTTATGAATATGAGTTCTATATTTTTGTAGGACTTCCTGTTTAAGGATAATGAACTGACATTTTCGAGGCTTATAAATTGAGTTTGAACGAGTTTCCACACGTCAAAGGTTATTCAAAGTAGATGCGAAATGTATTTTAAATACAGCGAATGAACGAGCAAACGTTTATCTATAAAATAGTATAGTTTGATGCAAGTCATTTTGTCAACAATGAATATTTTAGTAAGATACACAGTGTCAATTTTCTCGATTTCTATAAACAACAAATTTGCAAGATGAGCTCGATTATTCTTGAATGATTGCTCTAAAACTCTTGATTCTTATATCACTTTATAGAGAATAATCTTGTTTTTAATTCTATGCAAAAAAAAATGGTAACATAACGTATGTGTGCTGTAAAAAAATATCAATTTTCTCTGTCCAAACCCACATCCTCATTTTTGTCAGCTGAAACATACGATTATTGCACTACTTCATTGAAATGTTTGATAATCTATTTTCATGATAAAACGAACAAATATTCTAAACAATGCATGGAAGTTCAATATGAAATGTTATATTTTTGATCGTTTTCAAATTATTAATGAGCTATTGTAGTTATAAGTTAGCTATCAATTCATTATTTCGAATTTATGATCCGTACGTATAAGAAAAATTTCATTTGTCTTGAACTGCTGGAAGTTAATGAAGGATCTATTAGAGAATATATTTTTGTCATGGAAACACATCAAAATTTTCAAGTTTAGTATCTCAGTCATTATGAACTGAAAAGTTCTGAACCTTGAGATAAATATTCTTCAATTGATTAGGAATATTTTTTGTGCTAGAATCACAAAAGAATTTTCAACTTAAGTTAGCAAAAAAGTTCATCTAGAAAAATTTTCTTTCCTTCCATGTATTTTACATAGTGTTCGAATTAGGAACAATTTTTGGTTTGTTGTTCTTATTTGGCACAGTACTCCTAATTTAGACAAATTCAATCACTCGTAAACTACCACTAATTACTCAACTATTTTTCAAGATAATTGAATAGTTTTTGTATCATTCGATCCAGCAGACGTTTCTCTACTAAAAAATATTAAAAAAATTCGTATGTTCATATATAAGAGGTTTGGAAAGAAAAAAAAACTCTGAAGGTATTTGAAAAGCTGTTGGAATTAGGAACATGCGCTGTAACTATTTTAAAAAAGTCTAACTCACTGTTTGATAAAAGCGTAATGTTGCAATTTATTTACATAGACAATAACACCTTGTATTTGATTATCTTTGACTTGATCACCTAGATCAAAATAATAGAATATACATAAAAGAAAAAAAATACTCACTGATATTCTTCTAAATGGATGATTCGCCGAAATTTAATTCCATATTGCAGTGCGTCTGTATTTCAACAGAATAAAAATTGAAGATCTATCTGAGAAGGAAGGAAAATGTATTGTATACTAGATCCTTGATTATGTCTTTTTATTTGATGAATAGTGTGTTCCTATTATTGGTAAACAATATATTTCATTAATGAATTAAAAAAAAAAAGATATGCAGGATAATAAATATGATCAGACGTGATAGCAATGTTTTTGAAGAAGCAATTGTCTTTATATTTCGTTTTTCATAAGAGTCTCTGAAAAACGTGAAACTAATTAAATTAATTCAATATCGAATGTTTTTTTTTTACCCAAAAAAGATAGTGAATTATTTTGACTCTTCGTGATTTCACTTCTGACAGAATTTCCTTTCGTAATTCGCTGTATTGAATCGATATATTGCCATATGATAAAACAGTCAAGGCAATATCCGTATCGGTACTGGCAGCCAATACGCCAACAAGAGTTAGTAATTGATCTAATACTAAGTCAGATGGCCATAGAGTATATTTTTCTTCACCTAAATTATAAGTATAAAAAAATAAGATACTCATTCAGTGAAAGAATTAGTTTTGTTAAGTGCTTACCCAATGGGTACGACAAATGTTGTTGAAATGTTTCGACGTATATTTTTTTTAAAACTATGCCGATGATATTTTGAGCAATAGGCTAAATTCGAAGTGCCGATCACATCGACAAGATCACCTTTGCATGTTAAACAAGCATTTGTTCGTTGAATATTTCCTAATTCACCGATTGTTGTCGTAATGGTTTTATGATCAGTTAGATCTATCGCTAATGTTGTTGAAACATCAGAAATATTTGGAATAACATCCTATTAATAAATTTAGATAAGAATTGATTTAATATTGAAAGTTCATACTTACTATCGTTGACGAAGAAATGTTGGTATCAATTGTTGTACACATAATTGTAAATCCATTGAATTGTTTTGACTTTACTTCACTCGTTACATATGTTTTATCCATATCAATAGTATCTGATTTTAAATCAATTACTACCAAATAATCAGTACTACTTGTATCACCAATCAAAATAGATGTTGCTGTTTTAGTCATATTTTGGTTTTCGTGTTGATACGAAGGTCGAATATCGATTATTGATACTTGAATTGTACTTGTTTCTGTTGACATTAAAGCATCACGTAAAACCAACATTTCATTGTTTCGTATATTCAGTGCAAAAGATGGACTAGCCAATGGAAATTGATTTCAAGATTGCATACAAAATGTTGACAAGCCTACAAAAAAAAATCTATCGACATTTTTGCTTATACAATGGTCAGTCTTCTAATGAAACAATTTGATTTATCTTCTATTCAATTAATGTGAGTTAAATGATTATTTACTTTCATTGGATTCATGATCACATATTCTCTAAATAATATGTTCTTAATTTTGATGAAGAAACAGCAAACCATTGATAGTGAGTTCCATCTTGAACGCTAGAGATAGATTATTAGCAATCTTAGTATAGTTTTTCACTTGAAAATCTTCATCTTCGAGATGAAAAACGAATTGTAGCATTATGAACCGAAATTTGAACACAAAAAACTATATAATTACCAACTTTTGGATAAAATTAGCTTCAGAATCCTAACGTTAGATATGACAAACAAACTTTGGCGCTGTGATTCAAAATCTGAGTTTTATAATTAATCAAATATCTACTAACGTCAGAATAATTTTTTGGTTGAATATCCTAACCTTGGAGATGGAAAATAAACTTTGGAGCTGCAATTTTCATTTTGATCAGTATAATCTTTAATAACATTAAAATACTTTTTTGTTGAAGTATCCTAACTTTAGAACACAAAAATATACTGTAGAGATAGAAAATCAAATCAAATCTGACTTATATTTTTAAAAATCTGCTTTAATGATCATAAATCTAATAGGAAAATAATCATATACTTATTTATAAACAATGTCTTTGTCAAAAAGCAAATCATTTGAAAATGTAACGACAAATATATTTACAAAAATCACTCATTTATATTTTAATGACTTAAACGAAAAAAGTACTTGAAATAAGACTGAACTCCGGCCAATGCCGGTAAGAAAAAAATCTTACCGATAGTAATTGTCCCTCTACTATTATTGTTGCATTGCCTTAACGAAGTCCCCTTAGAAAATCGGATTTTTCAAAAAATATCGAAGTTGAGTTTTTTATCACAAAAAGATACAATGAAGCTTCCTCTTTCAGAATATATATGGCTTTTTAGAAAATGACCAGATTTTCAAAGATTTATCACATGAAACTTTGACTCTACTACCATATTTTCGGAGAAAGGACAAGGGCGGATAAGGCCATTTTTCTGTGTCCAACAAAATGAACTTCTTTTTGTCGATTTGAAATAAGACATAGCTCCTAATGATATTTCACACGTTTTATTTTGTATAGATCATCAAAAGGTCTTTGGGACCTATGATCTCCCACAGGGATCTCTGGAAAACTTTTGATTTTTGATCTTGATTAAATACGTATATATTGATAGAATCAAGTGTGCTGATTACGAATATCAATATATTACGTGTTGAATGCTTTTTAGTAAACAAAAATCCAGTCCTTTTAGAGATACTTATTTGACTATATACACAAATTTTTCGGCATTATACCTTCCTTAGTCGTTACTTTAACCTGTTGAAGAAACGTTCATAATTACTAAAACAATGTGGTCTTTTCTAATATGAGCAAGAAAAGTTTCCTCAGACCATCATCAGCTATAAAACTTAGAATTGTAATTTAAAAATCTGCTTTTCTTTCAGATCCACGGATATTAGACTTTCCGAAAGTTTGGATAGCAGATTAGAACCAATGTGAAATCTGGTGTAAGTACCTAATTTTGGATGCTCTATCCGATAGTGAATTCAAAAATCCCGAAAAAATTGCGCGCCGAGGGTTTTTAGGGTTTTCTGGAAAACTTTTCCAAGATTTCAAGCGATTTAATAAAAACTAACTTCACCTTCGTGTTCAGCATAACAAATAATCTTCGTACACAGTTCTTCGGCAATCCAAATATTTCTAATATACCGAATCAGGACATACATATCTATGACCAGTCCTATAGATGATATAACTAAGTTGAAAAAAATAAAGACGTTAAAAAAATATCTATTCACTGTTTCGAGAGGGTTTAAAATGTTTGAAGTGGGTTATTTGATGTGCTGAATACGATGATGAAGTTGGTTTTTATTAGATTGCTTGGAATCTTAGAACGGTTTCCAGAAAACTCTCAAAAGCCTTGACACACAATTTTTTCGGGATTTTTGAATTCACCATTGGATAGAGCATTCAAAATTAGGTATTCAGGTCTGATTTCAAATTGATTCCAATTTGCTATCAAAACATTTGGAAACCCCAATCTCTAAGGAAATCAGAGAAAAGCAGGTTTTTGACCGGTATTTCTAAGTTTTGTAGTCGATAATGCTTTGAAGGAACTTTTATATTTCATATCTGATAAGATCATGTTGTTTTAGCTATAATAAACGTTTTTTTTCATCTGGTCAGAATAATAAATGAAGAAGACACAGAGCAAAAAACTTGGATATAGAGCCATACGAGCGACTTTAAAAGAGTTGGTTTTTTGTTTATTAAAAAGCATTCAACACGTAATATATTGATATTCGTAATCAGCACACTTGATTCTATCAATATATACGTATTTAATCGAAATCAAAAATAAAAAGTTTTCCAGAGATCCCTGTAGAAGACCATAGGTCTCAAAAAGCTTTTGGTGAGCTATACGAAATAAAACTTGTGAAATATCATCAGGAGCTATGTCTTATTTCAAATCGATAAAAAGAAGTTAATTTTGTTGGGCAGAGAAAAATGGTCTTATCCGCCCTTGTCCTTTTTGACATAACCTGAAGATTCATTTAATATAGTGAGATGCATTCTGATTTCTTTTAGTCAATAAAAATTTTGCATTATTCCCTCGACTGTAGGGAGGGTCATATGAAAAAAAATAGTTTGTGTGTTTATGTGTTTGTGGCAGGGTCAAAAAAAAATCAGAGATGAAGTTCATTTAGGCATAACTTGTAAAGTTCGGCCAAAGGTAATCCAGGTCGGGAAATCCGAACCTTAGGTAAGGTTTTACATCCAGGCATTCCATTGACTAACATGCCCACCAATCAGAAACGAGCTTTTTGATTTTAAGCTTTTCGGGCCTTTTCATGAAACTTTACTATAGGTTATCGAGGGCCAGGATTCCGAATTTGAGGTCGGATTTTATATCCGACCCTCTCATTGGCTAGAAAGTCGGCCAATCAGAAATGAGCCTTTTTATTTTAAGCTTTTTGGGCTTTTTGATGAAACTTTGATATAGGTTATCGATGGCCAGGATTCCGAATTTGAGGTTAGATTTTATATCCGACCTTCCCATTGGTTAGAAAGGCGACCAATCAGAAATGAGCTTTTTGTTTTAACCTTTTCAAACGTTTTGATGAAACTTTATTATAGGTATGCCATGACCAGAATTCTGAGTCTTTGATCGAATGTTAGATGTTCAAAATGCTGACCGAAGTAAATCGGTGTCGAAGAATCCAAATGCGAAGTCGGTTTTTCAAAATTTTGAGTGTGATTTTTGTTAGTGAAAGAAAAGGTTTTTTGAGAAAATGACGATATTTTAGAGAAGTTGGTGAGCCTAAATCGGTGTCAGAGCATCCGGCTCTTTACTATGTCGCTGGAAGTTTACCGGTATAATTTTACAATCAGGGTAAGTTTTTTTAAGGAAACAATATGTTTTCGGTGTATTGAACATTGAGTGATATGAAATAATATGAGCTTGTGGTCTGGTAATGATTAGGAGAGTAACGTATTCAAGTGTGTAAGCTGGATTACAGAGTCGACTATATAACTAGCGTAAACTATATCTGAGGTTTCTCCACAGTGGGTATGAGGTGTAGGTGTAAGGTAGAACAAGATCAACCCACTCAGGCACATACTTACACCGACACCGACATCCACGCCACAAAGTATTGCTAATATCCAAATTCACGTTTAAGTCAATGGGACATGATTGGCATCTAAGCCTGCTCGCATTGCCTTATTTCTGGCTTACTGTTCCATTATTTGCATTTGCTTTCCAACAGACGGTTTGATTCATGAAATTTCTTTGCACTATGACTGGAAGAAGGTAATATAAACAAATATGTAGAAATGATATCACATTTTCTTGCGATTAAAAGAGAATAACTAGCTTTTGCTCAGGTGTGCTTAGATAATGGAGCGACTAGCCGTTAGTGGCGCTCTGAAGGGCGCCCGACGAACGACTAGTCACTCCTATTGCAGGCTCAGTGTTGATTCGCCCCACAGATGATCATTTATAAATGCTTGATTTTTTTGGAGAATACTCCACTAAGATTCTCTTAGCGAAGAATTTAAGTGAACCTCTGATTGGCGAGCGAGGCAAACTCTCGTGTTATAACTGTAACGACTTTTTGGAACTAAGTAAAATCTAGAATCTGATAGGGTTTAAATCAAAGAGAATGGTTTTATGCCAGAATAGAATTCAGTATAGTAGTGGCTAGCCGCGAATGGTGCTCCAAAGGAACACCGACGCGTGATTAGCTGCTACTCAGTGAGATTCTCTAAAGATATACTCCAGATTGTTGTAATCCATCGAAAAAATGTCTACAGTGAAGATCTGACAGGTTCAATAGAAACCAGAACTAGCAAAAAAGACTAAGAAATGTTTTCGAATGAAATGGGAGAACAGTTGTGCTGCACGTGCACAATATATGAATGAAACATTTGACAGAAACATCATGCAAAGAATTCAGTTCTGTCCATTCAAAGTAGATTTCCATGAAATAAAATAGCTTTTCTGTCATTATGTATCCATGTCTATGTGCATTTACTCGTCTAAATTTATTCGAGTACTTCGAAATTATCTGTCTAATCCGGTGACTATTTTGAGTGCTAGCGTCATTCGAGTGGCGTATTCTGAGAATAAGTCTGATCAAATATGATTTATTGTAATCTAGAAGTTCAGCTATACACGTGTTTTTGTAGCGGACACTAGCAAATGATATTGTCGGTTAATGTGCTGGTAACTATACAGATTTTTATTTGTTTTCAAGAAGTATGATGAGTTTTCACGCTAGTGTCCTGAGTATTCTTTTTTTTTTATTGTCTCTCTCTATATTAAATGCAAACCCTTTTCTCGGAGCATATGGATACTGCTGCCTTAGTGTTATTCATCTAGATTTCCGTTGGATATCATTCAATGTGTTTCTGTTTCGTTGGATCAGTTTATAAGAAAACGTATTTCAGACATACGCATCTCAATGTACACAAAGACATTGATGCGAATGTCAATATTCGCATTCACATGCACCCTTTTCAAACTTTTGATACGCGCCCTGTTGAGGACTGCGAAGCAGTACACAATACCGAACCAGCTGAATACTCAGTCGAGGGTCAAGCGAGTCACATAGACGAGCGTTACTTGTATTAATATGCATTCTATCATTCACAATCAATTATCTGCTCCACAATTTAAAAACCTCATCAAGTCTGGATTCGTGCAAGCTAAAATACTCAACGAAATAGTTGGTGAAATAAAAAAACCGAAGGAAATTTGTTTTAAATTTTATGATCTTTATTGTTCAGCTACTCTCGTTGTGAAGAACGGACTCTTCTAACTTGCGCCTGGTGCAGAAAACCTCTTTGTTATTATCATTTGATTGAAGATCTCCATCTCCATTTATAATAGATCTTCTGAAATGTTATTTTGTATAGCTTATCTACTTATTGTAAAATAAAGTTGAAACTATTGATGAATGAGAA